ATTTGCACTTCATATTTGTGTTTCACCATTTTCTCAAGATATAAAAGTGTCATATGCTGTATAGCAGTATATGACACTTTGTGCAGAAGGTAGAGCCTGGATGAAAGCTAGAATGATCACCGGGCTACTTAGCTTCATGGCTGAGTGAGGATTTGAATCTGGATCTTGGTCCAAAAATAAAGAAACTCTTTAAATAACAGTGTGCATGAAAAATAGAAACTACTCAAGGAGCTCTTGACAGATTACTAAAATGTTATTTTAACATGTTTGTGGGGAAGAAAGTCAAGTCACTTCATTTGCAATTTTTGCATCAAGAACATAGCTATGCAGCTAAAAGACTTCCATAGAGCATCCTGCTCTTTTTACATTGGTCTGTGAAATCAATTTAACGAAATGAAATTTAATCAAGTGGGAACTGTGACGTACAGACTTTTTGATCTGTCCCTCCTAGCAACTTGCATTTTTTTTTATTTGCCAAGATTTAAAGTGTACAAAAAACACTGGCTAAAAGGGTAACCACAAATATAGTAATTTGTGAGTGTGTCTTAAGGCAGTCAGCAAATAAAATGCAGGAAAATGATTTACACTAGGAAAAACAGAATATCCTGGATTTGTTTTACAGATCCAAATATTAGAGGGGAAAATTGGGTGATAGCAAAGAAAAGCAAAGAAGTAAGGAAATCTGATCAAAGGTATGATTCTATAGCTCAACAAGAAAATTATCATCATCTATTCTAGAGAATCTTTTCATTTATCACTGTTGTCTTCTGAAGAGTCACCAGCAAGGCTGATTTAGTTTTTGGGAAGCATAGCATTGGTATTTTAGTGTTACTAACGTAATAGAAATCAGAGTATTATATTTCCCATAACCCTTTGTACATAATTAACTTCAGGCTATACTAGCCCTTTGGATGGACCTATAAGATATGGCTCAGAAAGAATATACCATATTTTTCCGTGTATCAAAAACAACACTTTTTCCTAAAATAATTAGAGGAAAACTGAGGGTCGTTTTATAAACGGAAGGAGGCAGTCGCATGCGCACTCGGTCACCTCTTGCTGCCGCTGCCTAATTGCCTCTTCCAGAGCTCATGGCTTGTGCCCTCCGGTGGCCGAGGCAGCAGCAGCAGGAGACGGAGGCGAAGGAGCATCCACACACGCTCGGGCGCCTCTTGCTGCTGCCTCCCCCGTCTGCCTGATCACCACCTCCAGTGGGACTGACAGGCTCATCTCATGTCGACGGCCTTGTCCCCTCTGGTGGCAGAGGCAGCAGGAAGCAGAGGCAAACAAGCACTCACGCGCCTCTTCCTGCTGCCGCTGCTGGATTACCACCTCTAGTGATCATCTCCATAGGGCAGGGGACAAGATGGCAACATGAGCTAGAGGTGAGCCCCAGCAGTTGCACTGGAGGAGGTGATCGGGCATCAGAGGAAGCAGCAGCAGGAGATGGAGGCAGAGGAGCAGTTGCCCATTAACTGCTCCCCAGCCTCCATCAAGGGTCAAAATTAGGGGGCCGTTTTATACATTGGAGGGGTCGTGTACACAGAAAAATACAGTAATTTGCTTTTTAGTTCACCAGATATTTGACTTGGTTTCCCAATAGAAACTGGCAATCCATTCCATTCCAGAACATTCCTATTAAAAGCAAGTTCAATTCAGTCTGTCTTGGTTTTTAGATTGCTCTAGCTGTGAATTTACTGTATTGCTTGGTCAATAACTGTAATTCAATTAGGTTATTGCTTCTTAATCCTATTCATTGCCTCGGGCTTTTCATAGAACAAAATTAATATTGAAATACTTAATAGGTTAGATTAATTTATTTCAAAACTATTAATTTAAAATGGGTCTTTTGATTAATACAAGTGGGAATGGGAACTAGTACGAGAACTTATAAAAACTGCAGTTTGCAAGCAGAATCTTAAGAAGAATTCTCTTGCTAAAAAGGTGAGGTTTAATATAAGAATAATATAAAGAGAGATTGCTTCCTTCAGAAATGTTTTAAAATGAAAATGTAATTGATCACAAATTGATTGGTGTACTGTTTGTTTAGTTTGGTTTCATCCATCTGCATAGTAATTAGTAGTAATGAATTGGTGCTCCATATATGTTTATACACCATGTCTATTGATTTCTTTTAATTCCTCTGTTGTCTTTTATGATAAAAAAACATTAGTCTATACCAGAGATCCCCAACCCCCGGTCCGTGGCCCGATGCCGGTCAATGGCCTGAGCCCGACCGGGCCATGGAGAAAGGCCTCCCCCCCACCCCTGCATGCACTCCCCTCCACAGCCTGCTTGTGCCTGCGTGCGAGTGCGCGCACCTGCATGAGCACTGCGCCACCCTTAGCACATGTGCACAAGCACACCCGCAGTAGCCCCGCACCACCCTTTGTGCATGTGCACAAGTGTGCACGCGCCCACATGAGCGCTGTGCTGCAGTTCACCAATGCGCACAAGCACACAAACATGCCTTCGCGCTTGCACACAAGCACAGGGGGCTGCCCTGCCTTCCCCAACCGGTCCGCGGGGCTAAAAAGGTTGGGGACTGCTGATCTATAGTATTGCTTCTCAGCCTTTACCTAAGATCAGGTGTAATGTGTATAAACAGTTTGTGACTAAATAACTGTAAATGCTACAAATTTGAACTGCACTCTCTTCATCCTATTCTTCTCACAGTGGGAGACAGGAATGAAATTGGAGTGGGATTCTAATTTAGAGATTAGAAATTTTGGTTCCTCCCCACCCTCCCTTTCTTTGTCACTGTTGCAGGGACTGACACCAGGTTCCTCAGCTACCTCAACCTGCAGTTTTTGTCATGTTGCTTTGCCAGAATGGTTTCCAATGAAGGAATTTACCTTTTAAAAATATGTCAGGCCGAAAAGTCTAGCAAACGTTTTTGCAGCTACAGTGGCACCTGGCTAGACGATGATAATCCGTTCCACTGAAATCGCTGTTTAGCGAAATCATTGTCAGTGAAAAGCATTTCCCCATTGGAATGCATATTTAATGTGTTCCAATGGTGAAGAATCGTCGTTGTCTAGCGAAGATCGGCCATAGGAAAGCCGCTTTGCGAACTGCCAATCAGCTGTTTAAAAAGCTTTCTTGCAAAGCTTAGGTCCTGAAAACACCCGTTTTGCGAGCATGGAGGGAGGTGTCAAAATTGTTGTCTAGCGAAAATTGATTTGCGAAGCACAGACCAAACATTGTCCAACAAAATTCCACCATAGGAATCACTGTTCTGCGAATCACTATAGTCTAGTGAAAAAACTGTCATGCGGGGTAACTGTCTAGCGAGGCACCACTGTATTTGCACTATGAATAATGAATAGTGAGAAGCATTATCTTCAACATACAGGATTTTGTTATTAACCATACAATTTACAAAATGTCTTATTTTGTTGATGACATATTTTATCAAAACATAGAAAATGTCAATATTTCTCTTCAATTTCTTCATTGTCTAATATTCTTTATTTCCATGGGGTGTGAGAATAAGTAGAAGTTACCTGACTTTCCTCATTGTTTGCCATAAATTTAATTATCTCTGTACTTGAGAGAGTCAATGTATTTTCTTCCATGATGTCCATCTTGATATTACCAGAAGTTGGTGAACTTGCTGGTTTGAAACAGTTTGCAAGCCTGTTGAAAGCTTAAAACACGGACAGTGTGGGAAAAAAAAATTTTTTTAAGAGTGAACCAAAAAACTTGGATAACTTTTTTTAGAATTCCAGCACTGAAAAAATGTTACTAGTATCTTTATAAAATATCAGATTAGGATATTTCTTTGAAAATTTGAGTGACCAGGATGCTTATTTTAATGGTAAAGAAATTATAGTCAATCTCTGCCAGACACATAGATCCTTCTGATCTGCATGTTTAGCTTGCTAGTGTTCCACAAACAGAGGTTAAAGCCATTACAATTTGTATAATGGGTTGGTCGAGGCATTTTTAAAGCTTCATTTAGTGCCGTAGAATAGGAGGTGAGAGAGTATAGGACGGTAAAGAAGGGGGGAACAGTTCTGAAGTGGCTCAGTGAAAGGGCATATGCTTTGAATGCCAAACCTTCTGAGTTCCCTCCATCATAAAAAGTTTAGTGTGTAATTAAATTAAATTAAATTAAATTTATTTTGTATCTTATCCTAAGGCTAAGGAGAAATTAAAAAATAGATTCTTAATCATGTTATCCTCACAGCATATGTGTGTGGGAAGGATAGGTAGAAGTAGACTCACCCAAAGATAATAAGTGATTTTCATCACTAAGTGTATATTTAAGTCTGATTCTTCTATACATAATATGCATTGTATTGTACTTTGCATTAACAGAATACTAAAGTACATTGTTTTATATGTGTGATGTAGCATTAATATAGTGGCAATAAGTAATACGAACTTACATAATACAGTGTTACTATATACTGTATTTGCCAGCATACAAGATGACTGAGCATATAAGACAACCCCCCAACATTTCCACTCAAAATATAGAGTGGATGGCTCTGCTGCGGTGCCGCTGGCGGCTGCCCGGGGCTCCGCCTGGGCCCGCCCTGGAAGTTCATGGCCAGCGAGGAGGAGGGGAAGCGGCTGGGCGAGCGGTGGCAGTGGAGGAGGAGGAGGGGAAGAGGCTATCGGCTCAGCAGCGCGGGGCAGCGGGCTCTGCCCACTCAGGCATGGCCGGCTCTGCTTCCCTCCGTCCGGACCGACTGCCTGCCTGCCTGCCTTCCTCACTGGCCGGCACAGCCCCGCGTCACTCACTCAACGGCGGTGGCAGCTCCTTCCTGGCCCAATTGAAGTGCACCCGGCATATAAGACGACCCCCCCACTTGGAAGCATGTTTTTGGAGCCAGAAAAGTCATCTTATATGCCGACAAATACAGTAGTCTCATTTAATATAGAGAGAGTATATGGGTAGTTCATGTTCTTAATTAGACATTTGAAAAGCGAATGTGCTTTATTGGAATCCCAGAAGTGATATCTGATAATAAATGAATGTATCTTTCTAGTGCTCTTGGAGGATCTTCAGCCCTTCATATCCCTGCTTTTCCTGGTGGAGCCTGCCTCATTGATTATGTGCCACAAGTATGCCAGCTCTTAACAAACAAGGTAACACATAAATAGATGTGAATTAAAGTGCAGAGTCCTTAAGAACTAAACAACTGTATATTTATAAGAAATAAATTGTGTGATCTAAGGGGGCTTCAAGCTTGTGAACACAACTTGCATTTCAAATTAATAGAAGCTCAAATGCAGTTTATAATGTGACGTGATGCTATTAAAGGTGGAAGCTCAGTTTTTCCACAGTTTGTCATAGCAGTTTGGATCCCAGACACATTATTTTATTTTTCTGCTGGTTAACAGTATGGGCAAAGGAAAGCAGTGTATTCTGTTAGAATAGTAGCAGTTTCTGGAATCAGATGTATTTTCTCTCCTTGTTTTAAGAAACAGTGCTTATGTCAAATTGTACAACAAATGTCAGTATCAATCCAAAGTACATAAGGTACCCTAAAATGATGGATAACTCTGCGGTTTAAGTTTCTGACTGCGGAGCCAGAGGTTGAGAGCTCAATTCCCCACTGTGCGTCTTTGACATGGGCTGGACTTGGTGACCCATAAGGTTCAAAGATTGTTGTTGTTCTTGTTATTAAATAATTTAAAATAAATAGAAAACTGTAGTTGTGAAGTTATCTGCCCAGGACACCAGTGCAAAATCTTATGCCCTCTAAATATTTTGAATTAAAATTTCCTTAGCATGGTCAGTAATCAAGGATTATAAGTGTTGTCATCCCAAACATGTGGTGCACATCCCAGATTGTACATCAGGATTTAGAGTTATAAATATAAACAAGGGCAAGCATCTAATTTTTTGCTTCCCTCCCCCCTCCCACTACAAGTGCTACAGGCAAAGAAATTATGCATATAAGTGTACAATGAATCTGAAATTTCTTTGATTTAGGGCAGAATCCAAAGTGGTTCATATCTACGAACAGGTTGCTGATTTTATCTGGAGGCAGTCTGTTGTGTTTATTGGAATACCACATTAGTAGATACCCCAACATCTAGAAGTGGATTTGGGAGGGGGGACTGCTACCAGAAGTATGAGAAGATATGCACATTCTTTTAGATCTCTGCTTTAACAGATTTTCAGACAGTAACCTGAAGTCAGAGCAGTCGGCAATCTCGTCAATTACTTCAGATTTATCTTTTATTCCAGTTTAAATCATGTTTAGAGGAAGTCCATAAATTACATGTTTAGGAAAAAATTTTCAAATGCATTTCTATAATTATGTTGGAGTCTATCTTTAAAACTGATTTTGTTGTAGCTCTATGTTCTGTGAATGCACACAAATGGGTTATCCTGCGCCTGCGCAGGAACGTCCAGAAGATTCTAGAACTTAAGAAAAAAGAGTCAATTAGCTCCCCCCGCGGGGTATATAAGCCCCGCCTCCTCCATCTTCCTTTCAGTTCCTCTTTTTCCGCCGTTCCTGTAGGACGTAGGAAGAGCAGAGCTACAGACCGTTAAGTACTTAGCTAGCTAGCTATCTTTTTTCTCTTGTTTTATTATTTACTTTATCTTACTTTAATGGTTATTCAACAGAACTTGCTGATTTTAAGTTGCTTCTTTGTTCTATCGCATTTTTCCCCCCCATCGATCAACGATCCCTCCCCCTTTTTCTTTTTTGTTTATGGCCCCTCGGGGCTTCAAGCAGTGTGTCGTCTGCTCCCAAAAAATCCCTTTATCAGATGGACACAGTAAATGCTTGTTTTGTCTTGGAGAATCGCACAAAGATCAGTCTTGCTCTGCTTGCAAAGGTTTTTCAAAGCAAGCAATTAAGCTGAGGTGCCAAAGACTTCGAGCTTTCCTTTATGAAAGACTCTGTCTCCAAACATGGAAAGCGCCTCCCTCACAGCACTGTCCCCTCCGTGTGCTGAGGCTTCTAAACAGGACTCTTCGGCAGACCAACTGCTGCTTACCGTCTCTGTGCTGGTTAAGGCTAAGGACGCTTCCAAACCGCCAAAAGCCAAACCGCCTTCACACCCTGCAAAAAAGAAGGCTACCGATAAGCCTAAGAGAGCGAAGAAACCGGCCAAGTTGCCTGTTGTACCTCCTCCTGCTCCTTTGATATTGTTCGAGGAGTCTTCGAGGGAAGCATTTGGACTCTCTGATACAGAGGAGCGCATTCCTTTAACCCAGATGGCTCAGGAACATATGTGCATGCTACCAAACTCGGGCCGATTTGAGGCTGAGCCAGACGCCAGCCGGGCCGTTGCCCATTCAAGCCCTCGATACTCAGGGCGGGCTGATACAGAGTTTCCATCTGAACGGGAGTCTGATAATGAAACTCCTAGGAAGTGTACCGCGAAGCATAAAAATATTGCTCCGTACCAGCCTCGGGATGGAGGCGATGGGTACCGTCCACAAGGACTACCACAGTTTGGCCTCTCTTTTTATGCTCCGTTCCAACCGTGCCCGTACCCAGGCTACGCCTACCAGCCAGAGCCGCAGGCACAAGTACCGTGGCATCATACCATGGCTTCCTCTATCCCGTGTCAGCCACACACTCAACAGGAATTTTCTACACCTCGAGCACCATCTCATAAGAGGCAATTTCCCACAGTACCTACAGCACTTCCTAAGCGTGCTAAGTACAGTGGAGGACATTCTTTGGTTTGAGCCACAATGCTCTACTCCGGTCCTGATGCCCATGATACCATGCCCTTCTCCCAGTCCACCCAATCGGATGTGGAAATGGCACCAGAAGACGT